ATATATATATATATATATATATATATATATATATATATATATATATATCGTATTTGTATGTAGATCTAATATATATGTTTATCATGCATAAATTTTTATAAATATAATTCTCTTGTAGATACAATTATTGCGGGAGCAGCTCAATCAGGAGATAAAGCGCAGGCAACTGTACGTTTTACGGAGTTCGCGAGCCGGTAGAGAAATGCAACAATTGCGGCAGGCATTGGGCGACTCTTTGAAAACCGTGTCGCAAGATCCATCGCTTGACGCGGTGTTATTGGAACACGAAGCACGCAAATTGGATTCTACCCTGACAAGTACCGCCAGTCTGCCACCGTCATTAGCTTTACCTGCTCCGCCATCTTACAGATCCAACACTCCGTCACAACTTAAATAATGCAAAAAGTAATCGCTGATTGAACTTTTCTCGAAAAACTGCCAGTATATATTTATCAAGCGTAGCTTATATACATCTTAATTAAAGTGCTTATATATTTGTGTATTTGACAAGCTGAGAATCATAGTGATGTAAGTCAGAATATATTGAAACACGAGTTATTCATGTTTCTTTCTTCTAAGTGTCCTTTTTATTTCGTTTCATAATAAAATAAATTAAATTTTAATACATTTACATTGATAAGAAATAAAATACGTTGTAAATTCTAGTGATTGCAAAGACAATATAATATTTTTTTTAATAATCAGGTTATACTAATTTATTTACATCGTTATGATTTTCAGCCTTCGTTTATATCGATATATAGGTACTTAAATTATATCTTTCTTGAGGATATACAGGATACAATTAAATCTTATATATATAAAAATATCGTTCGATGTGCGCTTGAGCATTATGTATTGAAGTCGTTAGAGAAATATCAGGATATATCGAGATTATCAAGTTACCGCGATGAATTCGTAGCGCTTTTTGGTATTTTATAATTAGAACAATAATTGCGGATTTTTTGATGACTATATTTTATTTGATATACGATTTTTACATTGGATATATTAAACTTTTATCACTTTTTTATACAAAGTTTATGCTTCCAATGATTAACATTGCATGAAAAAGACTTAGTCATATTTCATGCAGTTTATTATGCATGAAATATGTCTTTGCGATGTGCGTTTTACATTTCATAAGAATATGTAGCTAAATTAATAGCAATACTCGCAACTTTCTTTCTCGATTCTTATATATCGACTGAAAAGAAATTTTACATAGAAACCAGTTATATATCCAGCAATTATTGTAAAGAGAAAAGTGATCTCATGATTCATAACATTAACAAAGATCTCATGATCCATAACATTAATTAATCTTCAAATGAGAATATATAAACGTAGAGATTATTTAACATTCTTAACAAAATTTTACAATGAATGTGTTAATTTAAGTTGAGTATACTAGTCCATGATCCGTCCATCAGTATTGTTATTGACCAACGTACGTACGTATTTATTTATTTATTTATTTATATTAGATATTGAAGATAGACATTTAGTTCGTGACAGATCAAAAAAGACATATTTATTATCAAGGAAAGAAGCGCATATGCGCTCTGGTGATTCACGTAACGAAAAGTGCTTATAAAGTAGGCGGCAGTACAGAAAAAAAAAAAAAAAAACAAGATGCTATGTTTAGTCTCGTTTCCGAGACCAAAGTAAATCAGCAAACAGGAGAGCAAATTGTAGAGATATGCTTCCGATTATCAGATAGATACAAAGCCACTGAATACATTTATACCAAAGTAAAATGTAGAGAACGGCGTGCTGTTCTAAGGAAGAGCGGACTGAAAAGTACAGACATAAGTGACAGCGAAGTGGACTGTGTCTGTTCTTTATTATTGAGAATATAGACATCCAGTCCTGCACTAAAATTGTAGCCTGCCTCGATTGAGTCGTCCGGCTTATGATATGGAATACGACCGAAAAGGAAATAATCGCTTCCCATACGGCATAAACCTTGCAGCTATATTGCGACAACATTACGGTCAATATTGCAGCAATGTTGCTGCAATATAGTTGCAAAATCTGTGCGATATGGGCTCGTAAAAAATTCCGCGGTGCGAAATTTCATTTCCGGGAAATTCGAAATTTCGAGAGAATCGAAATCACCCCCGGAATTCTTTTATTTTAATTATTCGCGATAGTCGGCAAAACCGATCGTCTTAGGCGAAATCTTTCTTTTTTTTCTTTTCATCAGACGTATCGCATCTCGATTTCGCAAATCAAACATCGTCACGATATCCCGATCATGCGAATTTAGGCCTGTTCTTTATTGCTGCACTAGATTGCATCAAAATTCTCTTTCTCGCTTTCGCTAAACTTTAAAGATATATTTATCTCTTTTTTTAAGTAACAATGAGTATATCCTAGTTCGGCTATAAAGAATAGACCACGAACCTATTCTTTTTACCTGAACTCCTTGCTATA